TTAAACAATCTGAGTAAGATATAGATAGCCTTAATTTAGAGATTAAAAAAAAATCGCATTCAAATAAACGTTTACATGCGAATCTGTCAATAGCAAAATTCTGTGATTCTTTTTCTTAAACCAATCAAAAGTTTCAGATTTAGTAAATGTTTTTACCACACTTTGTTGACTTCCTACTGATTAGTACTGATATGTTTTTGCGTAATACATATAAAAGTTAAAACGGTAAACATTTTACTATAAGCTCAGTTTTGAACACAAAAAACCTATACAAAATCACCAGTTTGTATAATTACCTTTCTTAATTCGAAACCCTAAAAGACCCCTAAACATTATTTATTTATGTTTAACAACCTTTACATTTCTTTAAATAATAAAAAAAAAAAAGACTAAATTATTATTATTACTTATTTTTAGTCATTTCTATGTACGTAAGTACACTTTATGTCTTCCGGCATATTTTAATTAGTTTACCGACTTTAAAATATAAAATAGCTACAAAAAAAAGTCCACCTATAAGCAACTTTTATTGAAATAGTTTTGTACTTATCGAATGAAATATCAAATCGATTGATAAATGGACTTTCAAATAAAAAATATCTTTTGAGCTCACATCAAGTTGAAATTGATGCTGTTCAATTTTGGTGCCAATTTTCAACATTATCAAGAGTTTAGATTTTAATTGTTTATAGGTACGCTAATATTCAAATACTTAGGAACCCAATTCCCTCCTAATCAAAAGCTGGGGTTTAAAGAGTTGTTACATATGTTTTTTTGCTAATAATAATTTATGATGATTGTTCTAAATAATGAAGTTTTAGCTAATGTTATTCGTTCAAAGCTCTAAACGCTGTCTTATAATATTAGACTCAAGACTCTTAAACTCCTATGCTTTATAGCATATTAACGTGATGATTAATGGATTGCATGTTTTAACGTAAACGCCTACTAAGAGATGTAAACATGCAACGTAGGTACACTGAAAGCTGCCAAAAAAATTATTACATTAAAAACGTGTACCAGATGGGATTTCGGTTGAAACCACATTAATAATACAAATAATACCTATGAAAACGACAACGTTATTGCTAATATTTCATTACCCATTTTCCACCGTCACACTCGATTCCCACGGTAAAAGCATGAGCCTTTTGGACGTTTATGGAACGCGCGTTTGACAAAATAAATCAAGTACAACATTAGTTAATAACATTATAATGTAAACAGATACAACTATATATATATATATATATATAATTGGGACTAGGAGTAAAGTCGGATTTTTTAAGAGGTTTAATTGTACATAACATCAGAGCCATCAACTACCAGTGTCGAAGAATACACCTATTAAAATTGTAAATACTATAAATGCAATACAGAAATACATTATATTTTAGGACGCTACAGCCAAATAGCTTTTTACACGTTAATCACGATTCCTTTTTAAAAACGATATTATAAAAAAACATTTTTTAAGTAATCGCAGAAGATTAGGATTTGACGTTTGAGTACACGGCAGTTGTGCTCCACTGGAGTTGTGAGAGGTGAATCGCATCATGGGAAAATGTACTACAGCCAACTTAATAGATGCAATCTAATGCGCCGTGTAACGTCAAATGTGTATGCCCGGCAAATGACACTGAAATTATTCAACCATTAGTCTTGCTGGGGTCATGATAATAACGTTTACTTGCGGTTAAGTCCCGTCGGCAAACACATTTTTTCTTATTATATTTCAACGCGGAATTTATTTTCGTTAAAACGAATACTCTGAAAATACACCGTCCCACCTCGGCAACTCTATCACCAAAATGGATATTTTACACTAATATTTATTCATCTGGCGCAAAACATTAGCAGCAGAGACCATTACTTTCCCTCCGTCTACTTAATTGTTCACTGTCAAAATAATAAAACAAACAAATTGTTTGGAACATGATATTGCAGCGTACAGTGTGACTATATAATATGTCGCCCACCCGCAGGACGTCTGATAAATATTTCGTTTTTTGAATTTTATTTGTCATTCGGTTTAGTCGAAGCCAGTAGACTGTAAAATATATTTGCATTAACGGGTGAAACATATAGGAGCAATTCACAAACACAAGACATTGCCCTGACATGCTTGGCGAGGGAATAATTATGATCTTGCGAGAAAATCAAAATTAACTGTCATGGAACACTTAGGTACAATATAGGGCACATGCGGTGTAATCACTCATCCGGGATCAAGCAGCCAGATAGGAATAGATTTGTTAAAATCCCCGTTTTTTTTAAACATAAATATTGATTCGATATTTGAAATTATCAATAAAATCTCATCGAGATCACGGTTGAAATTCTTTTAATTTCCAAAAGCCAAACTATTTTCTATCGAATTTCGTTCATAAAACTTTACTTAAAAAGCTGAAGAGTATTTTTCCTTTAAGAAAAAAGTTTATTAATGAAGGCTGTGATTACATGAGAAAATAATTAACACTAAAAAATCCTAAATACTATAGTAATAAATATACAACAAAATATTTTTTCTTTAAATTAAGATTTTGTAAAACAAATTACCTCTGTATGTACCTTTAAAAAAATATGCGTAGCATTACTTGATAATTTCCTATATCATTTTGCCAAATTTATTCTGGTTTTGAGATGAGTGTAGAGCTTATCAAACGTCTAAAATTGCAGCCATACATTATGGCGGTACACATTACACATATAGCTTATAAGGTATTTATAATTTTATGGACCACCTGGTTTTTTGATGATATTCTCAATTACTAAAATTTACAAAAAAAAATAAATTTTTTTGTGCTTATCTAGCAATAATTATTTTAAAGTTTTTAAATCTTCTGGAACAAATACAATAACATTAAACTATTATAGTACGATCAAATTCATAAAGGTATTTGTTTCACTAATTTAGCATGCGATTCTGAATACCATGTACGATGACATAAATACCGAATAAAAAAAAAATGAATTATAATAATGATATTATTTGTACTGCCTACGCATGTATCAACTGTACGTTAAAAAAATAGCTATGCAAATCTTTTTAAAACAATAATTTCCCATGTTAATAAAATAAACTTACAGTTAGGAGTGTCACCGAGAATTTAAATACTATTTACAAAAATTAAAAGTATAATAAATTACTTAGTTAAATAATATTGTCTGGTATGTGACCGTTTGTAGCTTAAGCTATCTTCGATATGTCCGGTTTGCGGTTATCAACATGGATGATGGTACTGTGTGTCGACCAACATGAATTGATTGTAAATAATATTTTAATTTATTACACACGAGATAATTAAATGATTTAACTTTTATACAAAAACACAAGACGATTGTATTGAACTGGAGTTGAATGCAGGAAAAAATTAAACTCAAATAAAGTAATTAAGTTAATAAATTATTGTAACTTTGTATTAGAGTAAACTATATTTAATGTAAAGAATAACTTAACCCTCGTAACTCTGTAATAGGCATAATTAATTTAATAATAAGTATGCCGACAAAAAATATGATTTTTATGAACGTTAAAACTGGGAAAATTAAAATTGTAGATTTTAAAAACTAAATACTATGATTAGCAGTATTTTTTAAATTATAGATATATACACAATAACGGAATAGTCATTATAATAGTTTGTATTACATAACTGTATAACAGTGTTCTCGTTTATCACCATACACATACCTAACATTTTTTGATACAATAAACTGTAAAGATTCACAATCCACTGATTAATGTCTTAAAATTACGGTATTAGAAGTTTTCAAACTTCGGTTTCCGGAATAACATACTTATATACATAATATCACTTCCTGTCGAACGACGCTTTGTGGGGGAGGAAATTAACTTGCACGAACAAACACACTAACCCTAATCGATTATCAAGTTTTAGTAGTATCATATCCTTTAAATTTTCAGATGAGCTATTTTAAAATTATATTTTATCTACTAGCAATATTTTTTATAAAACACTGAAATATTTAACAAATTTAATTTCAAATCATGGTCAACTGAATACTATAAACAAAGATTTTCTTCAAATATTTAATTTTACAATCGTAGATCTTTTTGCTTTTTTGGAAAATCCAAAGATATGGACTTGGGCCTTACTGCCTACTTGGCATTACTCTTTTTATTAGTGCAACGTCTAGTTAAATGGCACTAGACTTCGTAGTATACTGTATAATATTATATTTTGTTCATGGCAATTTTATTAAGTAGGCGCTGTCAAGGAATTTGCGTGATTCACGCACATTTATAGAGAAAATGTATTTCCATTAAGTAAATAAAAAACTTAGATCAGACAGCTCTGTCCTTAAGTACGGCCGCGTGTGTTTACTTTGTATAAATGTCATTGGCAATCCGCTAAAAGGTCAACACTTTATTATTCTTTTTTATTATACCTACTCCTTTATACGAATTTCCACGCTCCTTAGAATTTCTCTCAGTGTCGCAATTCGAGCAGTTTTTTTTTTCAGTACAATACTTTTTTTCAAAAAAAGTATAAACAATTATATTATTATCCTACTCTGTCGTCGGTACGATTGTTATGAACTATAAAGAAAACTTTTACCTGTATTTTTTCAAACAATATACTTTGGCTCTTCCTTGTAGCAACCTTAATGTTACAGTTTAAATAATATAAACCCTTTTGTTTTTCTTTTAGAGCGTCGTACACGTATAAAAGCAAAAATAACTCCGAAGCTTTTATTTAATTATCTTTCCTGTAAAAATAACCAATTATAATTAAAATTTTTAGGGTCTATCTTGTTCAACGTTCGGGAAAACACATTTCTTTTAAATTCATAATTCAGAACCATTAGGTTTGGTTACGATTAAAGTTTTTGAAATGTGATTTTTTTCCCCCGTAATTTACCAGTTATTAGTTAGCCTAAATAAGACTTCTGGCTGGACAATTATTGCTTGCAAAATATACATATATTATTTATTTTATGAACTAATAGTGTCTACATACAAAATAAACTTAACATTTAAATAGCACAATAGCATTTTTTATTTTAAATATTGTTTATAACCATACGAATATACATACATTTTAACCTAAAATCCGGCGTTTGACCACTCAGTGTTAAAATTGTATGAACTAGTTGGTTGTTAGGATTCCAAAAGTTTTCTGAATCAGTCTTTCGAGATCAGACGTTAACCATACACTTGAGACTCCTCTCAAAATATATAAATATATAGTAGAAAAATATAATTGATCATAATATTATTATAATCGTTAAGATAATAATAATATTTATATAATATAAAAATGTATTGATTATAGAAAATTTATCAAAAAAAAAATTACAAATTAACGTTAGCACTAGAAATAAATAACAATTATAATTTAATATAGTTAAGAATAATCCGAATCGCTTGAATAACAGATTAGACTTGGCTCTCTATGTGGGCTATACATTGGTCTACCATCGCTATCTTCGCTTACACTATCTTGATCGCTTACGCTCTCTTGATCGCTTACGCTCTCTTGGTCGCTTACGCTCTCTTGATCGCTTACGCTCTCTTGGTCGCTTACGCTCTCTTGGTCGCTTACGCTCTCTTGGTCGCTATAGACGTCGCTTTCAATAGAATGTTGGTTTTGTTCGCTATCACTTTCACATTCCTCGTCGCTTATTTCTTCTTCGTCGTCGTCGTCTTCGTCCTCGTCGCTGTTTGTTTCTGCTTCGACATCGTTGACGTTTTCCGATTCGCTATCAGTGTCTTCTTCGCTGACCACATCATCATTTTCCTCGGTATCGGGTTCCTCCTCGTCGCCGTCTTCCTCCTCGGTATCAGTTGCAATCATTATGCCTATTCTCCCTCTAATCCTAGATATTACAACGGAACCGACGACGTTAGAGTCGTCCATTTCTTGATCTTCCAAACTCACTTCGTCGTCGCTTCTATCGTCTCCCGACGAAATAACAATAGGTGAACGGCGAAAACTATAAGTGTCGAGTCCTGAAAAATGGAAATAATAAAAGCCAATGGTCTAGAATCTAGAAAAAAAAAAGACTATCAAAAATCATATATCCTAATTTTTAATAAAAAAATTTTAAAAAAATAGGTCAAATTAAAAGTTTTAGAGTAGCTGTATTCAAATATGAAATAAAATGTTAAACCATCGGCTCCTTTAAAGGAATTTTTTTTCAAATTTTACAAAAATGTTAAGTTGCACATCAAATTACAGGTAGCTGAATTCAAAATTGACCTTTGATTTGCATTAAGGGATAAACGATCAGAAGGTCAATTACAACATGTTTACATAAAATTACGTCTACTATATAACTAGTCTACTAACATGAATAATGAACATGAAATGTCTATAATAGTTATCCAACTTTAATAAAATTGTGTTTTGTCAACCAAGGTTACTTAGTTGCATATCATATATGTATATGTTTATAAACCTATTATTATACGTCAAATTATTCTATTACATTATGGTCAAATTTGTACGTCCAAATGACGTTTCACAAGTTTTTAATGATTCATACGAAGATGTTAGTGATAATGTTTTATCAATAGCATCACGCGTGGAAAGAAGGAACTCTTAGAAGAGGAAGAAGACGTGCTACCACGATTTTCCCCTAGACTATACAATGTGATTCTTTTATTACGAACCACTCAATATCTCATACATATATATATATATATACACAATGTGATCTCAATTTTTCACATTTTTTTTTGTTTTTACCCCCAACTTAGTTTTTTTGATAGCAACTTTTGATACTTAAATGGTAACGTATATATTTTATTAACTTTTTAAATTGAATATAATGTATTAAATATTTTTTCTGGTCGATAACTAGTTTCGGATAACTATTTTTGAAGTTGTTGAAGTTTCAAGTTTAGGGCGGGAGGAAAGGTGGAGTGTAGTATTATTTTTATCTGCGCGCATTTCTCAACCGCACTTCCAATCCCATCCTAACTTTAAAACTCTAATAACTTTAAAAATAGTTATCCGAAACTGGTTATCGACCAGTCAACATTTTTAATACATTATTCTCAATTTAAAAATGTTTAATAATACATATTATTTGAATGACAAGATAAAATTCCTGGTAAGACTAAGACGGAAAATAAACTTAATTTTGATCAACAATTGTAATTATTTATGTTTAGCTCCGAATTCTTTTTTAAACAAAAATATTCAACTGTAATGTCTTGTTAAATTTTCTATTATCATTATATTCATAATTATTCATTAGTTAATAATGAAAATCAATATACTATTAATAAACTTTTTACCTAAATCTGTTAAATAAACAGAAAAAGGAGAATGAATTTCTATTTTATCCTTATTTTTACTTTATTGCATTGAAATAATGTATGAAATGTAGAACAGTAAATTTTGAGCCATTTACAGTTACTTCCAAAGATATAAAATGTATTATCAATTATATAAATGTATTTAGTGTTGTTAGTTGGGATTCTGAGACTCTAACTGTGGAATGGTCATCTAAATTAATAATGTCTACTAATTTAGAAGATAAAGAACTCGAACAAAATGACTTGATCTTCAAGATTTGTAGCTGGAACAAATGAAAAAAAAATGAAACGGCTATCAGTGAAATGGTTCAGTTTCAATAATGAACAACCTTACAAAAATGAATTCAAATATTAACTCAAGAATGATTTTTATACTCTTGATGATTCTACAAAGAATGTGAATTGTTTTTTGAGTTAACTATTAAGTTTATAAGATCAACCGAATAATATAGTGAAGCGAAGTTCAGATGGGAGTGAAATGAATGAAAAGTATTAATATCATATCAAAAAAAGTTGTCATACTATTCTTTTTAGATTTTTAATAAGAAAATAAGAATGTTTTCATTTTATTTAATTGTTTTTTTTAATCATATTATTGTTATTTTAACTATTTGTCTATTATATTACAATTTATAAAAGGTAAGTTTTGATAACTACGTTAAATTATGGTAACTATGATAATGCTCTTTAATTATATAGTAAATGACAATTTTTGTTTTCTCAACGTAATAAAGATCTAAAAACAATTTGTTTTGTTTTGTAGGAGTTTCACATGTTTTTATGAAAATAATTAATGGTTTGTTCTAATGAAATAATTGTTGCAAGTCAACTTAAGTATCACTTACTGATTCATATCCAAATTAGTTTTGTCACTTTATTTTATAAGTCCACATGATTTTTAAAAAAATTACTTTTCAATAAAACATAAAGAGCTTTTAAATGAATTCAGCTTATATAAAATCAAACTACATGTATTTTTAAGTTAAGTTTTGTTTTTAGAAATTAATTAAATGAAATATTACACAAGTTATAAAAATGGCAACTCAAAATTATTCTCTTGAACAATTTTAATTATTATATAGGCATATTTTACAAAAATTGAATATATTCATTTTAGTTTTGCAATCCTTTTTAAATTAATTAAGTTTTTGGCAAATTAATAATATTCATTAAAATTTTATTTATATTTTATGTGAAATTACATTTATTATTTTATAACGACACATTTTTTAAATTTATTTATAACTAATACTAAATAAATTAAAAAAATTGTCTTGGTTATTTTTTCACATACCTAAATTACAGCCCTTATAACACGGCGAGCAGTCACCAGCATGGCATATTCTCTCACAAATGTGATTTTTGCAATTCAACTGTTTGGAGCAAATATTCTGACAATTCACCGGGTCTGACGCACCGCATTCAACGTAGACTTTGGTCTTTCCACACACACAACTTCTGAAATAATTGGTTCAGAGTTAAATATCTTCTTATTCATCTTCGCCTTACGCTTCCAAAGGGGTCAGTTCAGAGTTAAATATTATTAATTAAATAAATATGTATACTTTTTTGTTATGACTTACCTTTGTACTTGTACTTTACACGGAGGACACGGCCCTGGATGACACAGTAATGTACACTTGTGATGACAGTGATGTGTTTTGTTTGAGTTCTTTTTTTTCCTACCGCAAATTTGGCCGCAAGAATGTGGAACATCAGCGTTAATTGAAAACGGATTCAATAAATTACCGCAAAAACATATGTACACTGGATTTCCATTTACTTCACTTTGACAAGCCGGACACCTCCAATGTGATCCTAGATAAAATTCAATTTGTGTTTCATTAATAACTAATATAAGACATTGCATGGGCATATACAGTACAAGCAAACATGACTGGATAATTTTTTTAATTATAAATACATTAGTTTAAATTAAATAATTTCATTTAAATTTATTATTTAGGTAGCTACAATTAATAATATAATATATTATATTATATATTTATTATTATGCTATTATGGTTAATGGCCATTTATACAACAAAAATTATTCTTTGGAATTGATAAATAATAAATTACAGTTGTTAAATAGGTCTGATATTCACTGAAAAATTATTCAAGTATTTGGTGTTCAACAATTTTTTATGTAGATATTGAATGCGTATTATAAATACTTTCAGCAAAAATGAAAAAAATCAGAAAAGAAGAAAAGCAAATAAATATTTTTGTACGTCCTCATTGCTCGGTATAAAAAAGATTCAGACACAGAATCCCTCGTCCAAAGTTAGTTAGCCCTAAGGTATCATTACCAAAACTTCATTAAGTTTTTTTATTTTATAGAAACAGAAAAGCTGAATTATAGTTGTAGTGAAACGTTGCCTTGATAAATTTGTTATTTTGTCTTAAAAGTATGTAGGTAATAATAAGCTGTCAGTCAAAAAAAAATATCAGCCACAAGTCACGACCAAAACTGATTTGAACTTTTTTTACTTGCCATTATTCGATTTGCAGTACCATTCTATAATACATTTCATGTGGAAAATTTGATAGCATTTACGACAGCTCCATATCGACTCGTTGCTTGACGTTTTGTCAAAACAAACCACACAGGACACTTGGCCTTTCATCAAGAGATCTGTTAACATGTCTCTCTGGGAAGTCGTGGCTAATTATAAAAATACACTTTTAAAAAAACCAATCTCCAACATGGATGTTAAAGGAATGCAATATAACAACCGGTCGACTTACTGGTATCGGCGGTAACAGTCGGCATAGTAGTGTCGCACGCACTTACCGTTAACGGACTGTTTGCGTTGTTTTCGTTTCTAAATAACAAAACAAATGTCACAATGAGAAAAAAACACTATTTGTATGAAATAACAACGTAAAATACCTTTTATCATTCGAAGCACTTGTATTCCCACCAGAGTCCATAGTTTTTAATACCAGCCTATAATACTATATTATTTTTAGAAAGGAACGAAATAAATTATTATTATTTGGGTATTTTTTTTTTGTTCCTCAGTACAAAAAACAACGACGCCGAAAATAAAAAATTATTTTAAAAAAATTCCACTTAAAAAAATTATAATTATATTAAATTAAATAGTTGTAAAAATATAATCATATCATTGCGAATAACAGGTCTGACGGGCGACAGCGAGGCGAATAAGCATCTTATCTTGAACACACCTAATTATTGTCCACAATGTGGCTATTATCTCTCTATCTCGGAGTAATCGTCTAAAAATAATAATCAATTCGACCCCACCTGTAATAATAATATTATACCTTGACTTTGATGTTTATCGAACAATTATTTGTGTACAGGGTGATTCATTTGGGTACGTTCATTTCTCTTAAAATAATATTACAATTCTGTAGTTTCTTTTTTGAGGACACTTCAGTTTAATAATATGTTATTTTATTATAATATTAGAAGACAATATTAAAATTAAAATTTTTTCTAGAGCTCTTATCAATCAACTGAATAAAGTTGATAAGAGCTCTTAGTGCACACGTGCTATGTCCACTTTTTTCCAAAATACACTTTTTCATACCAATTGAGAGAAAATCTCAAATGCATATTTGTTGTGATATTTACAATGAAAACTTTGTAGTACAATCTATGAGTCTTTAAATATTTTAATTTGCTTTCCCGAACAATTTTAATTTTGTGGCTTTTAACAAGTGTGCACAAAGCCATCGATATTATTATATTTAACCAACATTTTTAAATTAAGATTGATTTGTTGACAATTTTTGACTGGTCGATAACTTTTTTTGGTTAATTCATTTAGAGTAGGAAAGTTAAGTTATTAAAGTTTATCAAATTATTCTGAATCGAAAAAGAAGTTAATTAAATCGTATTGTGTACGTTACCGTTTAAGTTTTAAAAGTCGATAGAGCTCTGGAAAAAATATGAATATTTTGTCTAACAATGTAAAATAACATAAATAGAAAATTGCAATTGTTTTAGAAGAAAATTAGTGTCTTGTGATAAATGATTGATCAACCTGTGTAAGGACTAGCGAGTAGTGGTTTAGAAGGCCAGACAAAAAACAATAATACTAAAGTGCTAAAAACAACTAAAATTAAAAAATGTATGATAGGTATAGCTGATCTGATAACCGACAAATTAGATAAGAAATTATACTACACTCCACTCTTCCTCCTGTCCTTAATAATTTTGAACTATTAACTAAAAAAGTATGTTAAAAAAAAGTTTATTTTCTTCATATTTCCATAGCTATTAGTTACCTCGAGTTTGTGATATTTTTCAACAGTATAAAACCATCTCTTATGTGTTAATAACCGATGAACTTAAGATTTTTAAATATCTTATAACTTATTGACTGGATCATAATCAAGCAATCATCCTGTACATGTCACACTACGACGATTATTTACATGTTATTTGTCAATATAGAAATTACACCTATTATAAGATATATTTGGTGCACTGCATACAAATTACTATTTTATGTTAATATATATAATGTTAATGTATTTTTACTCTAATTTTAACTTAACATAAGTGCTATTAAACGAAAGTATAATTTACATTTTCGCACCTTTTTTTCTTCTATAGGTAAGTTAGTCAAATACTTTATATGCGTATACATATTGATAGAATAGTCCTTTTGCATGTTCTACTAGCATTAAACTAATCGAAAAAAAAGTTATTATAAATACTAACATAATAGCTCATTAATAAATAAAATGTGGCAAATATCTCCAAACCGATGAAAATAATATATTTTTTTTTAAATCAAGGTTTTTTTGCAAATAACTTTGGCTCTGTGTTAATTTTTTTTACTAAACTTTTCATAACATTTTAAATTTTTGCTGAGGAAATGTTTAAAAACTTGTTAGCCGGTTATTATTTACAGTTTGACCTAAACTACCTATGTAGTATATTTATGAACTAATCTTTATATTTGAGCTTTTATATTTAACCGGAACATTTTTCGAACAACTAAGGCTATTATTATTCTGACCTAACATTTATTATTTACTTTCCCACTTGATTAAACCAAACAAATGTTCAACAGTAGCTGTATAATTACAATTTTTGTTGTTACGGACTTAAACTCATGTTGGTATAACTTTAATAAAAATACATTTTTTAAGCCCAATTTTTCAATGGTACTTTTTAAGTATATTATACTACAGTAGTAACTTAGAGACCCTCCCGGTCAGTACGCCATACGATTATTATTTTATTTTTTACTTAGAGATAAAAATAAAACTATATTTTTATACTTCACAGAATTATGCAACCCCATTTCAAAGTGCTTAAACGCGATTCTGCTAAAGAATATTTCTAAGAATTCAGATTATATATTACGTACACAAATCGACAAAGGTATTTTGAAACATGGAAATTACCATACTTACCATATGTGTAAGGTTACATTTAATTTAAAAATGAGGTCAGATTTAATTATATAATTTTATTGTCATGATATTTTGCATAAAACCATTAACCGTAGTGATTCGTAAACTGTGACTGAACTGATTCATCTAACAAGTTAATTACTTTTCTTATTTTCGTGGGCTTAATAACTACGTCAAACAACTGTGCCGTTAATAATTTCAAATGAGCAATATTATTGTAGAAAATTCCTCTCCGCATAATGTCTTAAACTGATTTTGTTTTCTTAAAACTTTTCCAATGACAGCTTAAATTTTAATTATTTTACATTACGACCTTTGATTATACTTGTTTGCCTGCCGCGGGGAAAGATGCTATTTTTGTTGATGCTAAAATTCTGACTAGGTAGGTACATAAATAAATAGTAGAAAAAAAAAATACAGCTGACTTGTATACAGATACTAAATAAACCTACAATAAATTCATGCCTGTTATTATTGAGGAGAATATAACCCATGATCTCACATGGACGATTTCAATAATATTTTTAAAAATCGATTTATTGAAGTTTAGGTTTTACTTTTTTCATTTTGTTGTAATTAAAATTAATAAACACATTTTCCAACCAAATTTTTCGAAAATATTTGTAATAAAAAACATGTTTCGCGATGCACACTGATAAAAAATAAAACATAAATCATAATAATTCACCAGAGTGTAAGGTATATGGAATTTATATTCGAATGACGATGATAATAAATAGGGCCATCTAATAAAGACTAAAAAAATAGGTACCATCGATTAAGCGAAAAAAAATAGACGCCCACTTGTATACTGTGTGGCAAACGATACTAATAACTTAATGATATTTATTCTTATTGTACAACGGATGTAAAATTATTTGAATGGCATCCGAGCACGCCAAGTGTAGAAATCGTGGTCGTACATAATTTAATGTAGGTACCTGTATATATTACACGATACGTTGAGATTTGGGAATAATTACAGGGTGACTGGTTAACTATGACCTATTCAATATCGTAGAAGATAATACGTGAACTTATCGAAATTTATCATTATTTTTCGTTATTTTATTGTTAACAACATACCCTGTTTTGATACACATGTTTTCCAAAAATCCCCATATTTTATGTGTTAAGACTATAATATGAACTTAAGCTTTTTAAATAGTAACGTATAATATGTTAAGTTAACTTTTTAAATTAAAAATAATTTGCTGAAAATTTCGACTGGTCGACGACCAGTTTTGAGTAATTGCTTTTAATGTTATTCGAATTTAGGACGAGAGGAACAGTAAAGTGTAGTATAATTTTTACCAGCGCACTTTGCTCTACCTCACGCCCTAAGCTTTAAGTTTCGACAACTTTAAAAATATTGGTCAAAACTGGTTACACATCAGCCATAATGTCGATAAAATTGTTTTTAATTAAAAAAGTTAAGATAAAATATACGTAACCAAGTATGTAAAATAACAATTCAGAAAAGGCTAATATTTTTTAAGATGTTGACTGGATTATAACCAACGAGTTTACCAACCACCCTGTATATTTCAATCGGTCGTGTCAGTGCGGTCGTGCCGGTAAGTATGCGCAAAGAAGCGGTAGCGGTTGTATTAATACTAATATTAATAACGTTGTGTAGATAATATATTTATAATATAATAATTATCATGTTCATATTATATTATCGGACACGAGACAGTTATTAACGAGAAAACCCGTACGTCTCCCGTGTGGGAAATAAAAATGACAGCAACCTACTACTGCAATCATCGTGATATTATTATAATAATGGTAAAAAAAAAATAAAAATTCGCACGCGATTACCGATACTTGTTGGTTTTTCAAGTAACCATAACTTTAAATTATTGTAAAATGTAAATGGTCGATATTGCTTATTTATCTTTTAAAATATAATGATATAAATTTGCCTCTAAACAAAAAAATGTTGATAATTTAAGTTAAAGTAAACGAATACATAAATTAAATAGATCGAGTAAAGGATTAAATAATGCTAGAAACCAAATTGAATAAACGATTAAATAAATAGAGTGAACGAGTTAACAAATTCAATATGAATCGATCTTATAATATCGATAATATTGATCGTGGGAACGAATAAATAAACCGAGTAATCGAGTTAATAAAATTAAAATAAGGTTAGATTAGTTAATAAAAAGTCGAATAACAGAGTTAACGAATCAAGTAAACGAGTAAACAAATCCAGTTAACGAACAAATAAATTGAGTGAACGAGTAAATGAATCCAGTTAATAAATCGAGCGAACGAGTAAAAATATTGATTAACCGAGTTGACATATCGAATAAATGAGTGAACAAATCGAGTAAACGAGTAAATAAATATAGTAAACGAGAAAAAATCTGAGTTAACAAAACGAGTAAATGAATTATTAGTGACGCGAAATATGTGTCGCAAAAATCTCACGAATTTTCACGGTTGACCTCCAGCCTAGTATGAAATGTTAGAACAACGTTACTGTATACAGTACACCTAATATTACTCGTTTAAGAAAACGTTGAATATCGAAGCCTGTTACTCAGCGGGTGACACGATATTATTATATCATTATTATGATTGTTATTATTATCGTGAAAGAATAAAATAAAAAAAAGAACACATAAGGAATGTATAATGACCGGCAGAAGCGGTCTTCGACGGCCGCGACTCACGCGCCGCCACAAGGTCCCCGGCGAAGAACCGACCGCGTTGTGCCGCCGGTAGTCCGTACTCCGTGCCAGTGCTCAGTCAGTCTCGATTCACAACGTTGGCCGGCCCGTCGTTGGTTATTTACCGACACCGTGTTCCTCGTGCGTCCGCCGCGAGTTCGTCCGTTCGTTTCACGTGCACTACTCGTTTCGTTTGCCCAGTTCGATTGGCCGTTTAGCGGTTTGTTCGTGGCGAGTGTGTGGCGCGTTTTGATTTTTATATTATACAACAAGTTGTGTCCCCGAGTGATCCGGATAATAGGCAGCCTTTTTTTTCTTTAATTTTCTGTTCACTACAATATTCGGTTTTTTACCGAATCGCATTGACTTTGTTATATGTGCGATTCGTTGCGACCTCCACATCCGCAATGAACGGCGGCCGCGTGGCCAAGCGGCTGCTGGCCGTCGTGCTGGCGTTGGGCACGGTGGCCACGCTGGGCCTTTACTACAACGGGTCTACGGTCCGGTTGGACGACCGACGTCCAAGGCCGGCGTCGGCCGCCGAGTGGACGCAACCCGGGAGGCCCGAAGCCCTCCGGCAGGCCGTGGACGCCGCCGGCGACGAAACGTCGGCAGCCGACACACAAAAACGGCGGTTCGGACAACTGCAGCCGCTGGCGTCCGCTTTTGTCGACAAAGACACTTGTCCTGAAATCGGATACGCCGACACCAACATAGACACCGTAGCGCAGTTTTCTCGGTTCGAGTTCCAGGTACTTACCTCAAGCTTTATTATACCGTGCCCAGGCACTAGTAAAAAAAAATATCGTCAGGGCCTAATTCAGACATTTAATTTAATTAAAAAAAAATAAATACATTTTCAAAATTGTTTTGCCTATTCACTACTACTCGATTGAGTAATAACGCTGAATGTGTTTGTAAGGGCAGTCGCCATAAAAATAACGTTTACATTTTACCGTCACAGCTGACTCATAACTTTTTTTTTAAAAGCACAAAGCTAAATCCAGAAAGTATATGTAAAACCATCTGTGGTTTTTATATTTATTTTCCACTTAGACTAATTTTTTTAACCGTTCCTTGCTATAACTCGAGAAGTTGTCCGACACTCTATTTCTCTATACATTTAGGGCACTCTATAATTGTTTTATCCCCCCTATAAACAGGACATAAGCCTCATGTAACAATATCATTTTTTATTGTATTTTTGCAAAATAAGGAAAACTGCAACTTGCATACGTATTATAAAACGCATGTCATTGAAATTTTGTTTTTTTGCTTTTTTTAATCATTTTAGCTTATGTTATTTTGCAGTACTTGACACTATTCAAATTTGTATATTTTTTTGGTGAATATAATATATGTACATAGGTATATATTTCATATGATATATCCTTTTAAATTATATTATTTACAAAACATTTTCACTGGTGGATAACTAGCGTCTTTAAAAATAATTACTCAAAACTAGTTATCGACAACAATTTTTCAAATTTTTCTAATACTATTAAATATTTATATTTTTTGGAACGGCATTCATTATTTAAGCAGAGCCGTGTTATGTATTCCTGGAAGTTTGAAACGAACCAACTTTTATTTAGATGTAAAGTTTTTTTTTATGTAGGTAACATTATGTTGTTGTGACTTTTTTAAGAATATCAAATCTCGAGTAGTGAAGGAAAACTTTATAGAATACTTTAGTTTCCTCGAAACTATACGGAGTATATATTTTTTTTATCATTAAAATGAAATACAAGTAACAAACTATAATATTATAGGTACATGTGGCGTACCTAACCGAGATGAACTACCCCGCGGTCTTGGGGAATTATTCAATGATATATAATAAGTAAAAAAAAAAAAACAAACATGCCTTATTACAATTTACAACGTCTAGATATTGAAATAATTTGCTTGTAATTTCTAAAAATATTTTTACAATAAGTCAATTGCAACACAGCAATAAAATATTATAGTTCAGGAAGGAACATTATGAAGGAAATTGGCCATTAAGTGATTACTATAAAAAATCAATAATGCAACTATTGTAGATGTACAAGGTTCAAATATATTAAGAATATATGCACGATTTAATTGTTGTTGTCTTGATCGATATTATAATTTAACAATAATATTTATTATACTTTCTTGTAAAAATATTTTCTTTTCACTTCAATGTATATGTAATAACTTCAGCGCAGTACTTATGGATTCAACAGCATTTTTTTTTTTTTTTTGTTCAAGTTATAGTAATATTAGTATATTATCAAGTTATTATACTTGTTTGCATTCAAAACGATGATTGGACTATAAAAAAAAAAAATAACGTTTGATTCGACCGTATCGAGCTTTGGTCTCCGATTAAAACGCGGTGGTAACATTGTGTTTTTTACAACATCAATTTAAGTGTTCATAAAATATGTTATTTTACTGTTATGACTTATTTTAAACTTGCTTTGGAACAAACCGTTCGCTAAAAAATACCTATACAGTTAGTTAAAGTGATAAGTAAGTAAATACAAAAATATCAGCGCAGTGGGATGCGAAAAACATTTTGCACCGTCGATTTTATTTTGAAATATTATGCACAGGATACGTTTATTGAACCTACCGGACCAGATAGGTAAATACCATATAAATAAATATGACCACCTATCACAAACATTAGCATATTATAATATTTCCTCTACTCCGGTCAAATAATGTCGCGTTCTTCTTTATTGCACGGCGGTTTCGTATGAAGTCCTACGAATTTTTTATTATTATAATTTTTTTTTTACATAAAAGTTGCAAATTATGTATGCAAATGCATAAACAAGTATTCCAATAGTCAGTAACGGGTCACGCGGCGGTTGTTGTCAAACAGCAGAATATCATTTAATATATTATATACTCGTCTATTTTGTTTGGACGTCAGATTTTTTATTTTTTACAATACACCCATCGAAAGTCCATTGTATTAATAAATATACCGTGAAAACTGAGTCAACTGAATATTTTTTTTTTGCCAAACTGTTGCGCATAAAATCATATTATAATATATACATATTGCAATACACTTTACCAGCCACAAATTCGAGGTTACAGTTCCAGTTTACAGCAGATAAATCAAAACGTTTATCATCGTACCTATACGGTTTGTGGAACCTGTTATTAGGTACTGGACGGCAATCGTTTGGGGATAAATAAATCACATTATCACGGTGTTATGAGTGTTGTTGTGCATGTTAGTAACTATATAAACCGATGGTCTAACCGTCGACTGTAAGACTTTGTCATCTGCGATGAGAATGAATGGCTGATCAAAGATCGAGGAGACGGCTGTCAACAATAATTAACAATATTACCGCTGGAAATCTATTTAATTCTATCAAAGCGCACAAAGGTTTAAGCAATTGTCATGCGAAGATCATGTTTGGATAGATGTTGTGACTTGTACAATTATACGTTATATTCTGTATATTATACACATACATAATACATACAACTAATAGTGGTAATCATTCGTTTCTCCCTAGAGCTTTGCGGTTAGCCAATAATAATATAGGTATGAACTATTAATATTGATTTTTTAGGCTTGTCTCGGTTAATTACATATAAATAGCGTTTTCAACTAAATACTCGTTTACTCAAGTTATTTACTAGATCCATATGTTCGATTTGTTAACTCTTTTATTCGATTCATTTACTAGACTTGTTTATTCATTTACATTTAATGTTTTAACTCATTTTCTCGAGTTCTTAACTCATTTATTTGATTAATTTACTAGATTTTTTAACTCGTTTGTTCGATTGGTTTACTCGATTTGTGAATTCGTTTACTTGTTATATTTACTCGAATTATTTACTCGTTTACTCAACGTTTTAACTAATTTTCTCGATTTGTTAACTCTTTTATTTGATTAATTTACTCGATTTGTTAACTCGTTTATTCGATTGATTTGTTAATTTGTTTACTCGGTTTATTTACTCAATTTTTTAATCGTTTATTTCATTTAATTCAGTAGTGTGTGCTACTGTATTTCTGTTTTTTTTTTCACGAAGGTAATAAATGCTAAGCTACAACTAAATATTTGCAGCTTCAAATTGTCATAATTTTATATTAAAATACTCGATTGTGACGGTTTTGCGAATCCGTAATGCGTTGAAAAATAAACGTCTTTCACTGTAATTTTCGCTTTTGTCGGATCAAATTTTTTTTTTTTTTAATTGTCATGTACAAGACAAACACATATTGTTTTAGTCTTGGGATTTTTCTACGATTTCGACTCACTGGGTCGACGCTCGATAATATCGGATTATTTTCCACTCCAACGACTACGCACATATTATAAATCCAGGTTAATCGTTTAGGTCGTGTCGGTGTAAACTCCTACGACACTAACGACAATACACTTTCCGTGCTTCCCGTTCGAGTTGCTTGGCCGCAACAATTCGAGTTTTCCATTGACAACACAGTAATGGCAACACTTTAATACAGCTCTGGGCGGTATTTCGTGTCTGTGTGATTTTTTTTTTCCTTTTCCCCAGAGTTTCGTATGTAGACCACCGCCGTGTGCATACCGTATCGAAAAACGCGCAGACTTGTTGCCGTCGCACGTTTTTCAACAGAGTACGGCACACGGAAAATGAGTATGAATGAATGATTGAATGGAAAAAAAAAAAACGGTCAAACCCAACCGGATTCAATAATGAAAACGGGATTATAAAGGTTTCCGGACAGGTGTGTGAAATCAAATCGCGTTCACCTTAAATCCACCGCCGGCGACCCTAGCTGTTGTTGTTGTTACAATATTCCTCATACCTATAGACATATACACACTTGGGCCCTTTTTAATACACAATATACAGGTGCGGACCGAATTATAAATTGTCTTTTTTTTTTTTGTATTTTTAGGGTTTCCGAATCGAGAGACGGAAAAAAACGTACTAATGTGATTTAAACTGTCACTGCGACTCACTAATTGTTTGTCGGTCGGTTTTTTTTAATGGGTTTTTGACGGCCGCCGCGTGAATAAATGATTATTTGTATTTGGTCTTCCATGTGGAGCCGAGAACGTATTGATTTTTACATATTCTTTTTTTTTTCAAACCGCCAAACCGATTTCTTCGTGTAACACGTCTGTATGGATCAGAAATCGTATCTGAAAGGTATTTTATTGAGCCGAAATTTTGAAAAGTTGTACAAAAAATTTACACGTTTTTCAATACACAAATAAAGCACTCTATAACTTTTAAATAGTCGAATTAGTTCTAAAACGGTGAGATACATTTAACGTAAGACACTCATTTTCTATTCAAATAACAATTACAATTTTTAAGTTTTTCTTTTTGGAGACACCTTAGTTTGTGTTATATTTTACAATGTTCAAGTTTTTGTATTTTTTCTCCTGAGCTCTATATTAACGTTTAAAATTATATTGGTGACGTACATAATATTCTCATAATTACATCTAAAAATTCAGTGGTGCTATAACATAATATACAAACTTCTTTAAATTTCTAGGTTGCTGTGTGTGAGTGTAATCAACGGGTATCTGAACAATATTTCAATTGTGTTGTTGATTACCTTACTCATTATTTTAAGTACATTGTTGTTACAATACTTTTATCGATATTTGTACTTTTGCCATCTGCACCGAAGCGTTTATTTGAAAGCGATTTGATCACTTTGAGTTACAACGATTCCTGTAGACCTGTGACCTTCCAATATGCTTCGTGCCAACTATACCCTAACACCACTGTATTGGCTTTT